CTGGTCCCGTCGCATTAACAAGTCAAGTCAGGAGTGCACTTTATTCATCTAATGTGGACCGAATTGTCAGTGAAAAGAATGTTATCGCTTTTGTTTTGGCATTGCACGCTATTAAAAATGAGCTTTAAGATATGACAAATAGTTACTGAAATGATAGTCAATCGGACACCGAGAACGCGTAAAGAAATAAGGAAACTGTCAATGTGGAAATTCACATTAGACTGTGTATAAAGTCGTCTGATATTCGCTCCCTAGAAACCAACAAACGTGAAAGATAAGGTACACCGGAGTTGTGAAAAGCAGTGGTACGAGTATATAAAGGTTTAAATTTATTGCGGGTTACAGAAGTTTAAATGGACCTAGATAAGGGCTGTGTGTAAGGAATGTGACGCATCGAACGAGATGGAGTCACACAGACGGCCAAAAATATTGAGGTGTTGGTTGACGATCGAATCAACCAGCTCCTCATAAGATATAGCTCCATATCTAGGGATGCTTTTCAGAGGGAGTCTAACTAATACAAAATCCTTAGACAGTAGACCGGGAAAGATAACGGGAGAGCACTAGGTTCAATGGTATAAAAAACACAAGAAAATACATTTAGAAATAATGTACAATGACAAAATGGTACAATGGAACCCTCAGATGCCGAAGGCGTGAAATATAAAAGGTCAACTTTCTAACTTTAAGAAATGCTTGTTCTACGTGATAGGACCATTTGAGGTCAGCAGACAAGAAACATCCAAGATACTTGAAGTGTTTTGACCTTTCAACTTTTAAGTTATTGATCAAGATGTTAGGAGCAGATGATCCAGAAAGAGTTGATGGCCCACAGTCAATGGAAAACAAAATTTCAATGCATTTATTGGGGTTTAAAGAAAGGTTAACACCGTCGGACCATTCAGAAATGGAACTTATGGCTGATTGAAGGGAGTTATTTGAAGGGTTGTTGTTGGGAGATGCACCACCAACTACTATATCATCGGCAAATTTAAAAGTGAAAACATTTGGGGTGATTGGCAAATTTTGGATATAAAAGGAGAACAGAAAAGAGGATAAAATTGCTCCCTGCACTACACCCTGGTTTACAGTAACAGTAGAAGACCTAATACCATTGAGACAAGTGAATTGGCGTCGGTCCGTAAAATAGTAGTGCATCCAATTCAAAAGATGTGGCGGGGGATTATTTCGCCGTAANGTTTCTGTCGACAGAGTTAAACGCGTTTGTGTAGTCCAAGAAATAAACGTGAACAATTTTGTGTTTTTGGTCTATAGTAGATAAAATACAATGTATAAGACAAGCAATCGCATATAAAGTAGAGCGACGCTTACAATAAACAAACTGATTAGAATCACGAAAATCAAGATTAGAGGATAGGTGCTTAATAATAATACACTCAAAGTCTTGAGTTATACTGAAGATGAGGCAATAAGCTGAAACTTACCGTTTTCTTTCTTAGGTACTGGAGTGATGAGCATATCGCGCCATGTGTTAATTAGTCTTCATTTTGACAGGCATGTATTAAAGATAAATGAAACGGTTTGTGCGAGGCGGTTTTCACATGTTTTAAGGAGCACTAGGGATAACCCATCAGGACCAGCGGATTTATTTCCATTGTCAGCATTTAACTCCTTGAAAACTTGCTCTATTTTGACAGACACAAGAAGGTGGAAATCAGGTGACGATGTATTTGTACTCCGTAAAGTGTGCACAACGTTTTTCACTAAAGCAAATGATTTATTGAGCTCATTTATATCAAATGAGACTGTAGTAGGTAAAGTTGAACGACCACAGAGCAACTTCAATCCATTCCAAAGCTGAAGGCAGGATTTATCTCCTAGCACGGTGTCAGCATACAGTTGATTGATGTGCTATCTCACCTTTGATGTGAAAGTTGAGAGATTTAACCGTCAGTTTATCTCTCGAGCGATACACCCTTTCTTTCAGCCTTCGTAAACATTTCATTTTCTCAGAGAGGAATCGGTTGGGCTGCAGATGAATCCTTTCCTGAGGGCAGCACACATCATAACAATACGTGAGGTAATTGGTAAGGTTCTCACGGAAGACTGAAATATCAGGATCGAAGAATTGTGGTTAGTCCGTACCGCCAACCATAGATTTTAACTCCATCA